TTAGATCGGAAGGTAAAGTCGTCTTTTTTTTTTTTTTTTTTTTTCTCAATTTGATGCAATTGTTTTTTTGTTTTTTTGTTTTTTTGTTTTTTTATCGATCTTTCATGGTTTAGAAGTGGAATTTCGTTTTCTTGGCAAATCTCGATTCTTAAATCTCAAGACTTGCGAGTCGAGCTTCCAAACTGTGCGATTAGGTTATGATGTTTAGTTTTTGAGGAACTTGAAATTTGCGGTTTGCTGCGTTGAAATTTTGATTCATTGTAGGCGATCGAAGAAGCTAATTTCCGCTGTATTGTTTGTTGCCTAGTGCAGATGATTGACGATCAGGAATTAGGTTTTCTTGCCAATTTTCTCGGCATTTTTATCTTTGCCTTGGTGATTGCTTACCATTACGTTACGGCTGATCCGAAATATGAAGGCAACTGAGATCTCGTTGATTTAGATGCTTAGATTCATCGGCAAAATGCACTACTGTTAGATGTAGGCCGTTTTTTATATGTTAGGTTTTCCATTTTCTTCTATGAGAATTTTCTCCCGGCAACAACCAATGTAAGCAACTTTTTCATTATGCAATCGTAATTTATTCTCATAAATTTTCATGGTTCTTTGACTGATCTTTTATTAGTTACGTATTTGATCGAATTTCTTCGTACTGCCCATTTTGAGTTCCTTCAATGTTGTCTGCAAGTTGAATGCATCGGTATTCAGTACATTTTTCTTTGGTGAATTGCAATTTGCAATTTCCTTTCCAAAAGTCTTCTTTACTTTAGCTACTCTTTCATTTGGATATTTAACACAAACGTTTTTTTTCCTTAAATCATATGAAATTCCAAGAATGCTTCTTAAGCTCTCTGAGAAAATTTCTACTCTGCTGCAATTTAGATTCTCTGTTTCCTGCTTTGTTCTATAAATAGTTTTGTAATTATTTTAAACATTGGGTGGTGGTTAATTTACAACCCTTGTTTCGGAGCCTGAGTCAAATGTTGATATCAATTCATTGTAGAACTGTCAAATAGATCGACAGAGTTTTCAATTTTTTATTGAACATGAACAGGTCTCTAAATTTAAATATCTAATTTAAATTTCAAAATATCTAATAGACCTTTGAATTTTTGATGTTGTGCTAGAATTTTACTATATTTTATAGGTTCAAAAATAATATTGATCTATTAATATGAATTTTATATATAAGGAATCTTAGAAGTAAATATGTGAATTTTAAACCCCCGTTAATAACTTATTTGATAGAAAATAAAAAATTTATATATTTATTCAACAGGAAATTGAGAGTTTTAAGGTACATCAAATACTTTCTAAGGTTGATTGACATGTAATTTAAAGTTCAAAAATATTGTTAAACATATTTTTAACTGTTAACGGTTCAATAATTCACAAATTTGACAATTTATGACGGTTCAATAATTCACAAACTTCTAAGAATAAAATTGATAATTTAATGAATCAAACATTTAAAATATAAAGCCATGTAAAAATTCTCTCATTAATAGGTTGATTGACATGTAATTTAAAGTTAAAAAATATTGTTAAACATATGTTTAATTGTTAAAGGTTCAATAATTCACAAACTTCTAAGAATAAAATTGATAATTTAACAATCAAACATTTGAAAATATAAAGCCATGTGTGATTTAAGGAGAAATGTAAAAATTCTCATTAATTTCAATTTGTGAAAGGGAAGTATGGGTGTGATTTAAGGAGAAAAGTAAAAATAAAGGGGCATTCCGAGAATTGAACTCGGGACCTCTCGCACCCTAAGCGAGAATCATACCACTAGACCAAATGCCCATGAGAATGCAGGCTGAATGAATATTAAAATACTTAACTATTAAAAATGAAAGAGTTCAAAATAAAAGAAGAATAAAACTGATGTTTTTATTTAAAAAAAAAAAAAAAAAGGAAAGAAGCTTCTAGAATCATCTAGAAGTTCAAAAGTAACGGTTTTTCTTCTGTTTTTTCTGTTTCATACGCTAAACATAACAACCTTTCAGCGCTCGAACCTCTTCAATTCGAACTCTCGAGAACCTTCTTCCTTTACAATTTCTTATAAATTCTCCTCCCTCCTGCCTTTTCTCTCAACTTCAAACTCTTTCAACCTACATCAGCTACCGATTTCTTCGCTTTCGTCCCCATTTCTCGTTCCAAATTTCATCGTATATTCTTTTTTGCCATCGTCTTGAACAGCTACCATGGCTGGTAAAGGAGAAGGTCCGGCGATCGGGATCGATCTTGGAACAACTTACTCTTGCGTCGGTGTGTGGCAGCATGATCGAGTTGAGATCATTGCCAACGATCAGGGAAATAGAACGACGCCTTCGTATGTTGCGTTCACCGACAACGAGCGATTGATCGGTGATGCAGCCAAGAATCAAGTCGCCATGAACCCTATCAACACCGTTTTTGGTAAGTCCTCTTTCTTTTGGCCGTGCAATTTTTAGGTTATTCCTTAAGAATTTAGAAATAATATCAGCCTGATTATTATTCCTTGATGAGATGAACTGAATGGTATGTTGACGAACTCTTGAGAGTTTTATGCTGAGGTTCATTATATAGTTCTTGATTATGTTGCTCGTGATTTTCTTGAGTTTTGGTTTTTTCAACTTTAGTTGTAGTAGTGCATCAGCACTCATCTTGTGATACTAAATATACTCTTTCTTGTATTGTTCTTGAAGCTAGTTCAGTTCTGTATATCTGTAGTTTCTTTTGGCTGAGAATTAAGCGGATATTATTCGGTATTTTGTAGAATTCTTAATTGATAAACTTCTCCTTGTGTTAACACAGATGCTAAGCGTTTAATTGGCCGAAGATTTAGTGATTCATCGGTCCAGAACGATATGATGCATTGGTCTTTCCAAGTCATTGCCGGCCCCAGCGACAAACCAATGATTGTTGTGAACTACAAGGGTGAAGAGAAACAGTTTTCAGCGGAAGAAATCTCTTCTATGATACTCATAAAAATGAAGGAGGTTGCTGAGGCGTATCTGGGCACAACAGTGAAGAATGCCGTTGTCACCGTCCCAGCCTACTTCAACGATTCACAGAGACAGGCCACGAAGGATGCCGGTGTCATTTCGGGTCTTAATGTGATGCGTATCATCAACGAACCAACTGCTGCCGCAATTGCTTATGGTCTGGACAAGAAGTCCAGCAGCTCTGGCGAAAAGAACGTTCTGATTTTTGATTTGGGTGGTGGAACTTTTGATGTTTCATTGCTCACAATCGAAGAAGGGATTTTTGAGGTGAAGGCAACTGCAGGAGACACTCATCTTGGTGGCGAAGATTTTGACAACAGATTAGTTAACCACTTCGTGCAGGAATTCAAGAGAAAGAATAAGAAAGACATTAGTGGAAACCCCAGGGCTCTTAGGAGGTTGAGAACCGCTTGTGAAAGGGCTAAGAGAACCCTTTCCTCCTCTGCTCAAACTACACTTGAGATCGACTCTCTTTTTGAAGGAATTGACTTCTATTCAACCATTACCCGTGCTAGATTTGAGGAACTCAATATGGACCTTTTCAGAAAGTGTATGGAACCTGTTGAGAAGTGCTTGAGAGATGCCAAGATGGACAAAAACAGTGTCGATGACGTTGTTCTTGTTGGTGGCTCCACTAGGATTCCCAAGGTGCAGCAATTATTGCAGGATTTCCTCAATGGCAAAGAGCTTTGCAAGAGTATCAACCCTGATGAAGCTGTTGCCTATGGGGCGGCCGTACAGGCTGCCATCTTGAGCGGTGAGGGTAATGAGAAGGTCCAGGATCTTTTGCTTCTGGATGTCACCCCTCTTTCCCTTGGACTGGAAACAGCCGGTGGTGTGATGACAGTCTTGATTCCAAGGAATACCACCATCCCCACCAAGAAGGAGCAAATTTTCTCTACATACGCTGACAACCAACCTGGTGTTTTGATCCAAGTGTATGAAGGCGAGAGGGCAAGAACTCGTGACAACAATTTGCTTGGAAAATTTGAACTCTCCGGAATCCCTGCAGCCCCCAGAGGCGTTCCCCAGATTACAGTCTGCTTCGACATTGATGCCAATGGTATTCTGAACGTTTCAGCTGAGGATAAAACCACGGGTCAGAAGAACAAGATCACAATCACCAACGACAAGGGGCGGTTGTCGAAGGAGGAGATTGAGAAGATGGTGCACGAAGCAGAGAAATACAAGGCGGACGATGAGGAGCACAAGAAGAAGATCGAAGCTAAAAACTCCTTGGAAAACTTTGCTTATAATATGAGGAACACTGTGAGGGACGGGAAGTTCAGCTCTCAAATGGACCCCGCGGACAAGAAGAAGATCGAGGATGCTATAGAACATGCACTCCAGTGGCTTGACAACAACCAACTTGCCGAGGTGGACGAGATAGAGGATCAAATGAAGGAGCTTCAGAATATTTGCAACCCAATCGTTGCCAAGATTTACCAGGGCGTCGGTGTACCTGGTATGCCTGGTGCTGCTATGGATGACAACTATGTTCCACCTCCGTCTGGTGGAAGCGGCGCCGGTCCTAAAATCGAGGAAGTCGATTAAATTTGCTTTAGATTGCGTCAGGTTTGAGGCGATGCATTCTTTTTTCTCTTCTTTTTTCTGGGTATAGAATCGTATATTTTGGGGTTTTTTTTTCACCCGATGAAGCTTTTTCCTGTAATGAGTTCCATTCATCGCCAATAGTATAAAATCGTTCGAGCTTTCTCTGTTCAAACTCTGAAACGACCTGCATTTTAGTTGTCTCGCAAGTTTTCTCTTAGATCCTCGACTCTGTTCAAAAAGTGGCATAAAAGCTTAATTTTCTGTACCTTGGAGTCTGCTGAAATCCCTATTGGTATAATGATTTGGTTGGTTTTCATGTCTTTAGCCTGAAGAATATGAGGGATCATCCGTTCATAATATGAGTTTTTCCTTCAAGCTCTAAGTGGAAGAAGCACACCCTGCACCTTCACTTGTGAATCGCTACACTCGTGCTTGCGAAAGACTACTTTCCAAATGAATTACTAAAGAAAGACTAGGAGTGATAATCAAGCTTTAGCCCTAAAAAAAGTCCGAGAATCGAGCTATGCTACTACCAAACTCACCGTAAGCAAGGGCGTTTTTCCTTTTACGATGGTAAGATGTTATTAACTTAAATTACTTAAGTTCCTACCATAGTAAGATGTTAATTCACTTGGAACATAAGTTCTAGCTCTAAAGCATCTCATTTCAATATTTTCAAAATGTCTCCTTTCAATCATTTTTTTAATCAGCTAAAGTGTTTACAAGGACGGGCGCCTTTGTAATTTTCGGTAAGATGCTGATTCTGATTCTTCATAAACAACGCCATTACAATGCAGCAGGTGTTTTGGAAGTTTCTCTTTGCCTTGAAATCGCCACAACAACGAACTTCAACACAAAAATTCATCTTAATTAACCTTTAATTCCCCGTATTCTCCGTTACCGTCAGCTATGTCATCCAGCGACGCCGCCGTTTACAGCCAAAAACTCGACATCTTCCTCATTGCCGTCGGCTCCGCCGGCGCTGTCGTCACCATTTATCACTGCATCATGGCTTGTTGGTGTGACCGCCGCCGCCTCAACGCTGGCGACCAAACACCAGCGAACGACCTACACTCTATGTCGCTGGCGGAGACGCCACGGAGCACCGAGAATTCGGTCGTTCATTTGATTCCGGCTCACAAGTATGAGAAGCAAAAGGCGGTGGACAGCGGCGGATGCGATGGCGATGGCACGTGCGCCATCTGTTTGAGCGAGTTCGAGGAGGGGGAGGAAATAAGAACGTTGCCCGAGTGTCTGCATTCGTATCACGTGCCGTGTATCGACATGTGGCTTTACTCTCACTCAAGTTGTCCGATGTGTCGTACTGATGCTACTCCGACGTCGGTTCATGACAGGCTGCAGTTTGAGACGCAGCCGAGTTCTGGGATTATTGTGCACGTGCGGCCCACGAGGAATGAGTAATATGGAAATTACTTTCCTACTAACTCGACGGACAGTAAATTTCGACCTTTTTTTACACATTTATATATATAAATAAAAAAAAACTCTCCATTCGCACTTCACTCCTGGCATTAAAATTCAAAGTTTGTGATTACTCGGGTGTTTATGGGTAGTGAAAAAGATTAAGCGTAAATATAAGATTGGAAGCCCAAAAGCCCAAAATTAAGTGGAATAAAGTGCTAAGATTCGAAACCCAAAGGCCCAAAATTAAGTGGAATAAAGTGCTAAGATTCGAAACCCAAAGGCCCAAAATTAAGTGGAATAAAGTGCTAAGATTCGAAACCCAAAGGCCCAAAATTAAGTTGAATAAAGTGCGAAGATTGGCAGCCAATAGGCCCAAAATTACGTCGAATAAAGCGCTAAAATTGGAAGCTCAAAGTCCCTAAATCAAGTCGAATAAAGCCCCCAAGATCGAAGGCCCAAAATTAAGTGGAATAAAGCGCTAAGATTGGAAGCCCAAAGGCCCAAAGTCCCAAAATCAAGTCGAATAAAGCCCCTAAGATCAAAGGCCCAAAGTTACGGAATAAAGCGCAAAGATTTGAAGCCCAAAGGCTCAAAATTAAGTTGAAGAAAGCGCTAAGATTGGCAGCCCAAGGGCCCAAAATTAAGGAATAAAGCGCTAAGATTGAAAGCCCAAGAGGCCCAAAATAAAGTCGAATAAAGCGCTAAGATTGGAAGCCCAAAGGCCCAAAATTGAGTCGAATAAAGCGCTGAGATTGGAAGCCCAAAAGGCCCAAGAGAAAGTCGAATAAAGCACTAAGATTGGAAGCCCAAAGGCCCAAAATGAAGTCGAATAAAGCGCGGGCTTCAATAGGTTTGTATTACCGAAGGAAGAAAGCGGAGGAAGAAACCGAGTAATAAATAAAAGAGGAGAGCAAATTCCATATGTTTCTGGTCCCATGTGAGCGTTCCTCGATGGCCGCATTTGCCGACTCCTTTGCCATCCGCCTCTGATTTTTCCTTTTCTCAGCTCCTTGTTTTTGTGCACCTTAACACAGACAATAGCGGTTTTCCAGTTTGCGGAATCTTTTGCTCCTCTGCAATTCTCCTTTTTGAAGCCATTGCAGACTTGCGGGGTGGGGTTTTAGAATCCGAAACTTGATCTCTGGCTAAAACCATGCCATTCTCAGCACAAGAGTTGCCGGTATGTTCAATAGATTCTTGGTTTAAAAGGAAAAAAGAGAAGCTCGTAGTCATGTTTCATGATTGAAGTGTTTGATTCTCAGAGAAACTTTTCTTCTTCTGTTCTTGATGGATTATCTTTAAGCTTTTCTTCTGTTCTTGATGATGTAGCTCTGCATTTCATGTATCTTCATATGCCTAATTGCTGATGAACTTTGCATCCTGGGAAGTGGGAGGATTTTGAGGCTACTTTCTTTTAGAGCTTTCACTTTGATTAAACGTTATTAGTTTTGTTTTGCCTTTGTGAAATGGGAAATTCTGTTCATATGTTTGTGAAGAGTGAAAGTACTTAGAAAGCTGGATTGGTGATGTAATTTAGGGGAAGAGATGCAATCTCTGAGTAGTGTAGGGCTTGGTTTGAGTGTGATATTTGGTTGCCTGTTCTTAGCTCTTGTTGCTGAGCTTTATTATCTGCTATGGTGGAAGAAGAGGTTCACTGACAGAGATGTTGAAAATGATTACAGTAGTCCAGCTAGAGAGCTATTTTACATGTTTTGTTGGAAAAAATCATCTTCTTTGATCCACACAGCTCTAAATCCTCAAGATCTAAGTAGGATTCATGGAGATGAAGGAGAGTTTAACATGCACACAAACAACGATTTCTTAGTGAAACCCTTTGGAGAAGATGGCATAGAAACAGAGTTTATGACACTCCAAGGCCTCTCAGGGCCACCAAGATTTCTCTTCACTATAATAGAAGAAACCAAGGAAGATTTAGAGTCTGAAGATGGGAAAGAATCAAGAAGTAGGAGCTTGAGTGATCTTCTTACTGTGGAAACTCCATATCTCACTCCATTAGCTTCTCCAACTCTTCTCCTATCAGATTCTTCTTATAAACCCCATGGATTCAATCCCCTCTTTGAATCAGCATCTGATGCAGAGTTCAACAAGATAAGGTCATCTCCACCTCCAAAATTCAAATTTCTACAGGAAGCAGAGGAGAAACTTAGGAGGAAACTACTGGAAGCAGCTGAGAAAGAGGACAAGTCTTGTATTACAATTGCTGTTGACAGGACAAGTCATTCAAGCACTTCTTCACAGGTACTTCCCTTGCCTTCTTCACCATCAACCTTCAGTTCATCAATCACCAAGAACTAACCATTAGGATTGATTCACCGAAGTTGAAATGGGTTGTTTTTAATCTTCTTTGTTGGGTTAGACTTGTTTCTTTTGAAGTGTTTTAAGGGTAACGATGTGAGTGGATGGATGGACTTGTGGGATATTTGTTTTATTCAATCTCCATGTCTCCTAAGCTTGTCTGCTACCTATAAGTCTCTTGTGTGGCTGATGATAATGCTGAAAATTGGGGTAAAAGGAGCTCTGTAGAAACCTTTTCTTTTTTAAAGTATATTTCCTCTTCCTCCTTTTTCCTTAACCCCATTTTTTGAAAACGTCTCGTTGATAATCATTGAGTTTTTAGTTTTTGGACCTCGAAAATAAAGCTTATAAGCACTATTTCCACCCATGAAACTAAAAACTAAACCGTTATCCGACCGAATCTTACGAACCGAACTCTTACGAACCATATCCCAACCGAATTAGGGTACCAAAAGATCAGAGTGGGTTCTTCCTCGGCTTTTATCTTAAGAAATAGATGGATGAATTGGCAGAGGGTTTTGGGAATTTAGCAGTACGTGGCTTGAAAAGGCACCACTCAGAACAAAGGAACAGGACAGGTTATAGATGGTTTTACCATATTTTTGTTCCTTAAAACGACAAAATGTATGGTCGGAATAGGTTGCTGCCCCCACCTTGAAGAATCATTACAGGCATTGCCTTTTAACTGTGTTGTTTCTAAAGCTGATATATATGTCCATTGCTGAATCATGACTCTTCAACTTTAGTGGCACATGTACTCATAACGTTACATTTGGGCCATGCCCCCTTCACTTTAATGTTGTTCTTATTTTGGAGTTAGTTGGTGTAATTTTTCATTGGATAAAATTTCATATATCTCATCATTTTAGAAATTAATCAAACTTCAGAGATTAGGTGCGAGCCTCTTTAACAATGGAAAAGAAAAAAGGTTACGTGGTTCATCTCCGGAGTCTGATAATGATAAGGCAACAACTGGTACATCATCTCCTAAAACGAAACCATATGATGAAGAAGAAGAGCTGCAGGAATCCTCTAACAGCTTCGACTGTGAATCCATGGCGGCACCTCTCTGGGTGAAATAAATAAAAACTTAGCCTTCATATCATAATGGAGAACGGGGATTATGAACTATACGTAGCTTTTATTTTGATATAATACCGGAAATCCAAATTACATGGATAACTAAGAGCCAAGCATAAATCAAAACGAGGGCGGCAATCATGAAACAGGTTCAAAGCTCGAGCATGTTAAGGGAAAGACGGTCACAGATGCCTAATCAACTTCTTCAATCTTAGGACCAGCGCCGCTGCCGCCAGAAGGGGCATCGTCGTCCATGGCAGCGCCGGCGCCGCCCATGTCAGCACCACCTTGATACATCTTGGCTATAATGGGGTTGCAAATGGACTCGAGTTCCTTCATCTTGTCATCAAATTCATCCGACTCAGCCAGCTGGTTGCTGTCTAGCCACTGAATGGCCTCTTGAACTGCATCCTCGATCTTCTTCTTATTTTCTGGGGCAAGTTTACCACCGATCTTTTCATCTCTGATTGTGTTCCTCATGTTGTATGCATAGTTCTCCAATGCGTTCTTCGATTCCACTTTCTTCTTGTGATCCTCATCCTCGGCCTTGAATTTCTCTGCTTCCTGAACCAGTTTCTCAATCTCTTCTTTGGACAACCTTCCTTTGTCATTGGTAATAGTGATCTTGTTCTTCTGTCCGGTGGTTTTGTCCTCCGCAGAAACATTTAGAATACCATTGGCGTCGATGTCGAAGCAAACGGTGATCTGAGGAACACCTCTTGGAGCAGGAGGGATGCCAGAGAGTTCAAACTTGCCCAACAAGTTGTTGTCTTTGGTTCTTGTCCTCTCGCCCTCGTAGACCTGAATAAGAACACCGGGTTGGTTGTCTGAGTAAGTAGAGAACACTTGCTCCTTCTTGGCAGGTATAGTGGTGTTCCTTGGGATTAGAACTGTCATGACACCTCCTGCAGTCTCCAAGCCTAGGGACAGAGGAGTAACATCCAAAAGAAGAAGATCCTGGACTTTTTCGTTTCCTTCGCCACTCAAGATAGCAGCTTGAACAGCAGCTCCATAAGCAACTGCCTCGTCAGGGTTGATACTCTTGCAGAGTTCCTTGCCATTGAAGAAATCCTGCAACAGCTGCTGCACCTTAGGAATCCTCGTAGAACCACCAACAAGGACAACATCATGTACGCTGCTTTTGTCCATCTTTGCATCTCTCAGACACTTCTCAACTGGCTCCATACACTTTCGGAACAGGTCCATGTTGAGCTCTTCGAATCTAGCACGAGTGATGGATGTATAGAAATCAATTCCCTCATACAAAGAATCAATCTCGATTGTCGTTTGGGCAGTCGATGAAAGGGTCCTCTTGGCCCTCTCACAAGCAGTCCTCAATCTTCTTAGAGCCCTTGGATTTCCACTGATGTCCTTCTTATGCTTCCTCTTGAATTCCTGTACGAAATGGTTAACCAATCTGTTGTCGAAGTCTTCACCTCCGAGATGGGTGTCACCAGCAGTAGCCTTCACCTCAAAAATCCCTTCCTCAATTGTGAGGAGAGAGACATCAAATGTTCCTCCACCCAAATCAAATATCAGTACATTCTTCTCGCCGACACTGGTCGCCTTTTTGTCGAGTCCATAAGCAATAGCTGCTGCAG